TATTCGCGTTTTTCACCGGATGCTCGCCCTCTGGTGTTTAAAAACAGAACTACTCTATCTGGGTCGTTTGAATGTTCTTCGTATATTGTCAACAGTAGAGATGAATAGTAAAAGTAAAAGTAAAGCTTTCTGTTGTGTTCCAAATTGTAATTCCAAAGCCATACGCGATCCCGATATAAGTTTTCGTGTATTCCCACATGAAAAACAGATGATTTTTCGTAAATCAGAATTCGGAGAATCTCAGAACTGTAACCGACGGAAAGAGTGGATTCGACTGCTAAGAATTGGCAAAAAAGTTACGAAGTATATGGTAGTATGTTCGAAACATTTTACTCCTGAAGATTATATTTTGTCATGTATGCTATCATGTTTTTATAAATATGTTTAGATTATTGTAATTCGATAGTATTAAAAAATCAAACTGAAAAAGATTGCATAGAGTCTAAGTATAAAGTAATTTAGTATTTGTATTCGTTTTTAACCTATACTATAGGATTATCTTTAATAAAATGTAATTCTATTCAATTTTATATGACATGTCGATAAACTTTAAAATTCCAGTAATTTTGTGTGGGATAGAAGTCAATGCTGATGTTTGCAGACAAAGAGCACAAAAATGTACAGAACGATCTTGCTCGTTTTTCTCGATAATACCACATAAAATGACGTGTCCAGCTAGTAATACTTGTTCTCCTTCTATAAAATTTCTCGATGAACTGCTACAAGTACCATATTTCATTATATCATATAGTAATATATAATTCATGTTACATTGACGACTAACAAACGACCCAAATAGAGTAGCCATTTTGTAAAAATACAGCACCCACTATAGTTCATGAAAAACGCGAATAGCAAAGAAAAGTGTAAGATGTTATATTATTGAATATTGTGGTGGGATCCATAATGGGAGACGCCGAAATATCACACGTAAATGGCATGTTTGTTTCTGTAACATATACAGTATTGGGTTCAAGGATATGAAGGCGAGTACAGCTTACATAATCGCGGAAAACAGTTACGAGTGTCACGTGACCCGCGGTCGCTACCCTATTGGCCCTCAGAGCCTCGGGAGACGGGTCCGAGTGTCACGTGACCGCGCGCCCCATTGGCTCGTGGAGCGCTGCATCTCTCTGGCTGAGGAACGACCACGTGATTTGGCTGTCATGCGCAGTGCTGTCCTTGGGCTCGTTTGTCTTAAATAAGAGTTCCGAAATGTTTCTGGTAAGCGGATGTGCTGGACTAGTGGACAAAGGCTTGGACTACAGTCAACATAGACCTGGGTTCGAGGCCCGGCCAAGGTAAGACTAAT